ACCATCAGGCCCTGACACTGAGTCGCAAGCCCAGGTCCTAAGCACTGCCTGAAGAGCACAAGGAGGACCAGTGGGGCCCCCCCCAAAGGCACAAGGAGAGGGGCTAGAGGGATAAGACCGCAAGGAAGGCGTTTGCCTTACACATGCCCGACCTGGGTTAATTCCCAGTGTCCCACATGGTCCCCTGAAAGCTGCCAGGAGTGATTCCCCTGAGCATTGTCGGGTGTGGCCCCAAGCCATAAAAAGCACGAGGAGAACCAGTTTGTAGTGACGATCTGAGACCATCTCCAGATAGGATACACACAGCAGACATGGCTGACAATGTTCTAGAATGTTCCACTGAGCAATGCAAGAACACACAAAATAACGATAGTCCACCCAACACATTCTGGGTCATAAAATGAATCTCAACATAAAATCTAATATATATATATATATATATAATGTGTATGTGTTTGGGTTACATCTGGGGGTGCTCAGGGCTTACTCCTTGCTCTTTGCTCAGGGGTCTCCCCTGGCAGGGCTTGGGGACCATATGTGGTGCCAGGGATGGAATCTGGGTCTGCCACGTGTAAGGCCAGCACCCTACCAGTGGCACCATCACTCCAGCTCCAATAAGGTTTTTAAAATTAATCACCCCCAAAAAGAAGTTTTCCAGGAAAACACCCAAGTATCTGAGGATGAAGCTGCATGCCTCTATGCCTCAGTGGGGCCTGAAGGGTTTTAGCTCCGAATGTCTGTCCTGCAGGGGAAGATCTGCGATCAGAGATCTGGACAGTGACCAGAACACTAAAACCACAGTAAGCAGATGACCAGCATGCAGGCTGGCAGAGAAAGGAGAGTAACAGGCAATCTATGAAACCAAAGTCTGGTTCTTTGACAAGATCAATAAAACACATGGACATCTCTCCTGGCAGGTCAGGAAAGGAGACAAATGTGGCACCGCTTCATCCTGTGTCAAAGGTCATGGGATGACTGTGAACAAGATGCTGATAAAAACACAAACTCAACACACTGATAAGCTCAAAATGACTTCAATGAAAAGGGCAGTGCTTGTTGTTGCTGGTTTTTGCTTTTTGGGTTATACCTGGTGATGTTCAGGGCTCACCCCTGCAAAGCCCTGCCTGATGTACTATCACCTGGCCCCTATTGTTTTAAGGTCACACCTGAGGGTTTCCTCCTGGCTCTACTCCTGGAGGTGCTCGGGGGATCCTATGGAGTACCGGGGATCAAGCCCAGGTTGGTCATAAGCAAGGAAAGCGCCGTACCACTGTATTATCACTCTAGCCCCCGGGTGGGCAGTTCTTTCTTCTTTCTTTTTGGTTTTGGGGTCACATCTGGCAATGTTCAAGTGGTCCTCCTGACTCTGCACTCACTAATTACCCCTGGCAGTGCTCAGGGGACCATATGGGCAAGTGCCCTCTCTACTGTACTCTCTCCAGCCCCCAAATGGACAACTCTTAGAGCACTGTAAGTCACCAACGACCGTGAAAATGAATGGCCTCAGCAGCTCTGTCTGTGAAATAGCTTAACAGACAGTACAGCCTATCAGGACCATGGGGAGTTTCCCCAGAGGTGACTCAACACTTGATAGCTACGAAGACCATGTGAACAGACATGAAAAGGATCTTCAGTAAGTGTAGAAAATACATCTGTCCCTCAGAGAAACCCACCAAACAGTGCAGAAGAAAGCTTCCTCCCACACCAGCAGGCACAGCGACCAGACACCTGCGGGTGACACGCTCCTCCAGGTGAAACCTGGGTGGAGGGTGAGGGTGCTTGCTCTCACTTCTGTTCACTATGAACCAGAGGCACTGGCAGGAGCTAGTCAATGTGAAAATAAACTGAGACATTGGTCTGGGGCTGTGGCCAACCCAGGTTTGATCCCCAGCACCCCATGTGGTCCCCCAAGCCCTGCCAAAAATGATCCCTGAGTGCAGAGTCAGGGGTAAGCCTAGAGCACTGCTGTGTGTGGTCCTCCCCAAAAAATAACAAAAAAAAATTCATAACCTGGTAAATACAGGTGAAAAAAAATCAAATGGTCTAAGTAATGAGCATCTATCACATGTTCATGGGCTGTGAGATCAAATGCTGTCAAGTAGTTAATTTTTTCCATATTGGACTGTAGTTTCAAAGAAATGCTGTCCCCCACCCCACAATCCTCATTAGGCTATGGAAGGGGTGTATGCGTGGATGTAGAGGTGAACCAGCAAACTAAAATTTAAGAAGTCTCCAGGATGACCAAGAGTATCCTATGGGAGCCAAAGCTGGAATATCTGTGCTGCCTACTGGGAATATATGCATTAAAATAAACCAGTTGAACATAAAATGCAGAGAGAATCATACTTACACCAACTACTGATTTTCAACAGAAGTACTAAGGCAATTCAGTAGAGAAAGGATTTTCTTTTTTCAATGAACAGTCCTGGAAAACTGGAGGCGTGTGCTTCCAGCACGCTCACGTGTGCGCGCTTGCACACACACACATACACATACACACACACACACACACACACACACACACACACACACCTTTGAGCTACAGCTCATGTCATTCACCCGAACAAACTCAAAATAGATGATGGAGTCATTGCAAACCTAAGCATTCATTCTGAGGCTGGGTTAGACCCTGCTATACTCCAAAAGCATGATGCATAGAACACATCATTGAAAATTTGGTCTTGACCAGAAAAAAAAATTCAGCTTTTGAACCACTTGTAAGAGAATAAAAAGGCATTGGTCCTGTCCAAAAACATATATTTGGAGTAAGTGAAGGACTCTCAAACTCAGCACGAAGCAAGCAATTCCACTGGGAAGGTTTGCTGAGAAGTAGACAGACTCACAGGGGTTGCTGGCCTGGGTCATTAGTCTCAGGGAGATCCTGAGACCCCACAGCTCACCCCTTCAGAATGTCTAAGTGGAGACAGAGAGCTGTCCCTGCTATACTCCAGGGGGCATGGGAACAGCACAATCACTCCTGAAGTTCCTTAAACCAGAAAGTCCAGATATTTCTCACTTCGACATTTACCCAGGAGGTAAAAGGACATTTGTCCGAACAAAGACAATACGCAAAACTCATGGCGGTTTTGTTTGGTCTAAGCAACATCTGAAGAAGCCTAAATATGTTCCAATGGGTCCCTGGGCACATGCCATATGCCATTCCTACAGGGAACAGCTGGCTGGGGGTGGTTGTGACGTGCCCTGCTCAGGGTTGAATGGGAAGCCCTCTGCTGAACACAGGAAGCCTCCTTTGCCTCCCACCCCCACTCTGCACGTCTGCAGTCATGACAGATTAGTCTGCGTTCACAGAAGTCACAGAAAACAAACTGTCCAAAATGTGTGATTTATCATACATCAATTGCATCCCTGAAAAGGGGGTTTGAGAAACCCTACAGAGATGGTCCAACCAAGTACAGAGCCAGCAGGAGCCCTCAAGCATGCTGGGCCCCCAAACAAGCAAAAACAAGCACAAACCCTAAGGCTGGCGGAGTCTAGTTAGTTTCTTGTTTTGTTTTGGATGCCGGGAATAGAGCCCAGGTGGGGATGGAATCCAAGTGGGCCTCGTGCAAGCCCTACCTGTTGTGCTCTCGCTCCCGCCCCTGGCTGGATCTGGTTTAAATGCCTACATCGCTGCGTTCTCTGCACCTTCACAGACTGGACCCTAGAATGTGGGGTCTGGGTCCTAACCCGACTGACTGTGGGAGCTGCGGGCAGTGGGTATGGACTTCATGCCCAGAGACCCCCAGCCCCCCAGACATCTTCCAGATACCCTCCCGCCCACAGGCCAGCAGCTCGTCCATCACCAGGCAGGCAAGGCGGTGGCCCAGATGTGGACAGGTTTGTCCTTTGGGTCCGGTCTCTTCCAGGCCTGACCCTCACCCCCCACTACTCTTGTCCAGGTGCCACCCCTGCAAGCCACAGCCCCTAGCCAGGTCCCACCTTTGTCCTCCGCTGCATCCTTTCTTCCAGCCCTCACGAGCCCCTGGCCCGCCCAGGGTCCGCCCCTCTCCGGAAGGCCCCGCCCACAGAGCGCGTCATCCTGGCCAGGCCCAGGGCACGCCCCTAACGGCAGGCCCCGCCTCTCACCTTAGCTCATACCGTTCAGGCCCCACCAGAGCCCCGCCCCTCCCCAGAAGGCCCCTCCCCTCGCCTGTACCTCAGCCCCACCAGGACCCCGCCCCTCTCCAGAAGGCCACGCCCACACCGTGCGTCAGTCACTCTAGCCCCGCCCACGACATGCCCAAACTACAGCCCCGCCCCTCTCCAGAAGGCCCCGCCCTTCAGCGGGCGCGCCGCGCTGTCTTGGCCCCGCCCAGGCTCCGCCCGGGTCTCTGGCCCCGCCCCGCAGGGCGCTGGCCGCGCCACCCGTCCCTGTCCGAACAGGAGTGGCCTCTGGTGGTCTCGGCGCTGGGTGTGGCACCGGGTCAGTCTCCAGCGCCGCGCTCAGAGCAGCCTCAGGACGCGGCTGCAGGTAAAACCCCGCCCCGCTCTGGAGAGTGGACCCCACCCTTGTCCACCTCCCCCAGCCCCTGTGCCAGAGGGTCAGGCGTCCTCGGTCGGGTCCGGTTTCGGCCGCAGACCCCCCCTCCCCGCGCGCCCGGCTGGGGCTCGGGTTTTCTCTCCTCTGTTCTCTCTCCGCTGTTTGCAAACACAGTCCCGGGAGCCGGCGCGGGAGGGCGGCGCTGGCCCTGGGGGAGCGTGGCTCGCTGTAGCCCCCACCAGGCCAGGTGTGGGGGTGGGGGCAGGGCTGGCCGGCCCTTCTCTCCGGGAGCAAGCGGGGGACACCCGCAGTGGCCAGACACTCCCACCGGCCACGACATTCCGCTGCAGAGAGCAGGTGCTCGGGCTCCTGGCCGGGTAGCGCTGAGCCTGATCGCCTGTTGGATTCTTTTAGGGCGGACCAGAGTCCGGCGAGGTCTGAGCGCCCGCTGGCCGGAGCGAGGCTGCCCAGTGCAGCGCGGATCCGGAGGGGTGGACACCTGACCCTGCCGTCCGCCCGCATGCAGAGTCTCCCAGGCCTGCCGGGCCCTTCGGGGGGCTCCTGCCTCCTGCTCCTCTTCTGCCTGAGCCTGGGCACCTGCTGCCCACCGAGCTGCCAGTGTCCTGAGCACGCGGGGGCCGTGGCCGTCCACTGCAGTGCGCGGGGCCTGGAGAGCATTCCCGGGGACATCCCCACCGACGCCGTGCTCCTGAAGCTGGATGCCAACAGGATCGCCCGTGTCCCCGACGGGGCCTTCCAGCACCTGGACCAGCTGCAGGAGCTGGACCTATCTCGGAACGCCATCGAGAGTGTGGCGCCTGCCGCCTTCTCAGGCCTGGCTGGGGGCCTGCGGCTGCTGGACCTCTCGCACAACCGCCTCCGCCGGGTCCCCACAGCCGCGCTGGGCAAGCTCCGCGCCCAGGTGCGCCTGGCACACAACCCCCTGCACTGCGAGTGTGCCCTGCAGGAGGCGCTGTGGGAGCTGCGGCTGGACCCCGGCTCTGCCCACGACATCGCCTGCCACACAGCGGAACGGGAGGAGTTTGTGGGCAAGCCTCTGGTTCAGGCACTGGACGCGGGCGTCAGCTTCTGTGGTGCCCACCCCAGGACCACCGACGTGGCCATGCTGCTCACCATGTTCGGCTGGTTCACCATGGTGGTCGCCTACGTGGTATACTACGTGCGCCAGAACCAGGAGGAGGCCAGGAGGCACCTGGAGTACCTGAAGTCGCTGCCCAGCAACCCCGGGCCCTAGGCTCACCCCGGATGGGGCTGCTCAGGGGGAGCACGTGAGGCCCACAGCCACTCGGGGTCAGGCGGGGCTGACCCTGTGTCCCTCACCGAGTCCCGGTGGACTGTCCTGAGAGTGTTCCTCGGTGGGGGTGTGGGGTTCCAGCCCTGGAAGGGCCCCGGCCTACCCCCTGGTCTCCCCAGTCCACCCGGCTCCAGGGAACAGGGTGAACCCCAGGCCCCACCCACAGGGTTCCCAGCACGTGGCCCCAGAGCCCCACTGTGCCTTCTTTTCTGCTCAAGATGCCCCTTGGGCCAGCTCCCTCCTCCCCTCTCATCTCCCCTCCCTCTTCCATCCTCTTCCCTCCTCTCACTTCCCCTCCCTCCCTCCCCCCTTCTTCCCCTCCATTTGTCCTCTCTCCCAGCCCCCTCCCCCCATCTCCCCATGTTGTGGTTGTGGGGAGCCTCTCTTTCCTGACCTGCTCCTGCCTCATGCCTGCTCTGCCTGCTTTTTTTCTTTTCTTTTTCTTTTTTTTTTTTTTTTTTTGCCTTTTGGGTCACACCCAGCATTGCACAGGGGTTATTCCTGGCTTATGCACTCAAGAAATACTCCTGGTAGTGCTTGGGGGACCATATGGGTTGCTGGGAATTGAACCCAGATTGGCCGCGTGCAAGGCAAATGTCCTACCTGCTGTGCTATCCCTCCAGCCCTGCCCTGCTTTCTTTTTTGTGCTCTGGGTTTGACTGTCTCTAGCTATGGCCTGTGGGAGGAGCAGAGAGGTGAGTAGCTGAGAGACTTGGGGTGTGACTGGGGTGTGCGCAGGGCCATGGCAGATCCTGCATCTGCGGACCAGAGTTTCATTTCCTGGGGGGCAGCCCCACACTGTCACCTATGGACACACCTCCTGGTTGCTAAGGGGGTGGGGTGGGGGCAGCAGCCTGTACGGAGGAGCTCTGCAGTTCAGGGCCAGGAGGGCATGTCTGTGTCCCCTGCCCTGCCAGGACACAAGGCAGTGTCCACTCTGCTCACCTTCCTTCCACGTGCCCCATGCCTTATGTGCCTGCGGTCTGATGCTCCTGGACCAGTGCTCTCACGGCCTGATGCTCCTGGACCAGTGCTCCGATGACCTGGTGCTCCCATGGCCCAGTGCTGTGGCCTGGTGTTACTATGGCCCAGTGCTCCCGTGGCCCAGCGCTCCTGGTGAAGCCAGTTCCCTGGACAGGGAGGAGTCCGGCCTGGATGCTGCCTTGCTGGGGGCTGTCTCCTGCAGTGCACAGAGTGGAGGGACCGCCACAGGGGACTGCCAGTGCTGCCTGCGACCCTGGGGTGCACTCCTCGTGATTTGAGGGGTTACCAGGCAGCCCTTGGGGGCCTCCCATACTGTATGAGGGAGCCCCTCATTTGCTCCTGCACCAGCTGGTCCAGAGCTGGGCTCGACCCCAGCATGGCTGCCTGTGTGAAGGGGCCTGGGTGGGGGACCCCATTCTGGCCTGCTGGGAAGAGGTGGGGTGAGGCCTCCTCAGTGCACGGGGTGACTCTTCTCACCCTGAGCTCAGGTTTCGGGGTGTCTGCCCTGCTGCCTTCCAGTGGACACTGGGTGTCCCTCAGAGCCACCGGAGCCACCTGGGCAGACATGTCGGCTTCAGCTCTCCCTGTGCATTCCGGCAGCTGGGCATCCTGAGGGCTGGTGCTGGGCTCGGGCACCCCATGGCACAGCCCTGTCCTCACGCGGGCCCAGCCAGTAGCAGCCCCTCAACCCGCCTCACGGAACTCGCTGGGGAAGCAGCCCTGTGACACAGAAGAGGCCTGGAAGGTTCTGGAAGGTTTTGGACTTGGAGCAGCCCCAGCAGAGATGGCTCAGAGCTGCCTTTCCTTGGGTCCAGAATTAAGACACCCTGCTGCTCGGTGAACCCGAATAAACACGCGCCAAGGCACTGCTGGCCTGTCCTGACCATCTATGTGAGGCTCCGGGGGCTGGTCCAGGCAGGGAAAGCAACCCAGGCGAGCCGGCACATTCCCCCGAGACGTCCCGCAGGCTGGGCCCCTGCCTCCTGCCCCACTGGCTAGCACTGCCTGGGGGCCCAGGCTGGGCTTTCGAGTGTGTCCCCCCGCCCTGGCCCCCAGCCTCGTGGAAGCTTTGATCCACCGTACCCACTTGCACCTGTACATGCTCCCACATGTGCACAGGCTACCAGGATACGTGGACATGCTCCCACACGGCAATGCTGCCCAGTGCATACTCCCACAGGTGCACAGCACACTCCTTATACACATGGACTCATGGTTCCTCATGGTTTTCCGGTCAGGGAACCTGGACCCTCTCAGTCTCCTCCGTGATGTGGGGGATGGTCTGGTTGTCCCCAGGAGGGCCTGTGTGTAGCTTTGGGTGGGGGGCTAACGGCAGCGAGTCAGGGGTGACCAGGGTGCTGAGCTGAGGGAGACTCAGGCCAGACGCTGGTGGGTGGCAGGAGGTCAGAGGCCATGGGAGTGGCAGAAGGTCAGAGGTGGGTGGGGGTGACAGGAGGTCAGAGGCAGTGCGGGTGGTTCTGCCGAGGCAGGCAGGGCCTCCTAGCATGGTGGGGGTGAGTGTCCAGTCCAGTGCTCGGCCCCTCCCCCAGCAGGGCCCTATTTCAGAGACACAGAGGCTGCGTGGGGGAGCAGGCTGGCCGCTGTTGGCCTCCTGACCACTGGCCTGGAAGTCTTCATGCACAGACAGGCTTGAGCTGTCAAACAAGCGTGGCCTCGGCCAGCACGCTGGGCTCTGCAGCCGCCCCCACCGCCACTGTGAGCTCAAGGCGCTGCCGCCGTGTGAACTTGTGCCAGCCTAGCACTCTGCACGAGAGGACAGGCAGGATGCGGGGTTGGGCACGGGATGGAGGGCTGGGCAACTGCCAGGCTAGGCACAATTTCAGAGGCTCCACTGAGAGGCACTGGGAGGTGGGAGGCCTGCCCCAGGAGACCTCAGTGCAGTACCCAGAGTGAGACCAAGTAATCCAGGGAAGCAGAGGGGACAGGTGGAGCATCCCTGGGCCCCCATCTGGCAGCCTGGCTCAGGATCTGGGGTCACATGGTGGTGCTGGGGGATGATGCTGGGGAACTGCTTGGGGAACTGCTTGCACATTCTTGGAGGTGCAACTCGGGACCCCAGCCTCCTTCCGGCAAAGCAGCTTTACTGGCCTTTGCACGGCTGGTGCTGGGTGGTACTGTGACCTCTGGGATGTGAATTTGAGCGTGTGTGGGTCTTTGATGCCGTGATCCAAGGGTACCTCCCACCATGTGCAGCACAGATGCCCAGGCCTACCACAGCGTCCCCTGGTGCCCACCCGCACAATGACACCGGTCCTGTCCCCTGTGGGTGATGAGGATGCCCCCCTGCCTGGTGCTGGGGAACCCAAACATGTTGAGAACAGTCTGACACAGGTGAACTCATCCACACATGCTCACAGAATGTTCTAGAAACAAGTGACCGGGAGCGGTAGTGAGGCTCCTTTGTGTCTGAATTCTCACTTCTCTCGGGGTGATTGCCTGGCGAGGGCCTAGCTCCGGGGTGAGCACTGGAGGGGGAGTCCAGCAGGGGTGGGGCTGTAGGCAGGCTCGGGACTCTGGGCTAGTGGGAGGCTGAAGTGTAGCAGCACCCGGGTCTCATGTTCTCAGCATGCCTGTGTAGCCCCAAGTCAGTCTTAAGTTCCCAGCAGACAGGGGTGAGGGGGCCTGAATATGTGCATGTATATGTGGCACACCATGCACTAAAGGGGCACACGCACAGTGTACACACGTGTGCCCTATGGGGGTGAATGTGTACATGCATGTGCTGTACACACGGACGCGTACAGCTTGTGTGGTGCACGTATGCATGCATGTACATACATCTACATCCATGTTATGAGTGTGCACATGTGTGGTACAAGTGCATGCCTGCATGTGTAGGCGTGTGTGCATGTGGGAATACACATGATGCATGTGAGTGTGCACGTGTGGCTGTATGTGCACACATGTGTCCGGGACAAAGTGTGGTGTGAGTGGAGCTTCTGGGCCCAGGGGGTGCGGCCAGAACCATGCCAGGTCGAGGGCAGCTCCAGGGGTTCTCAGAGCAGCAGGACACGCAGGCCTGAGATGCCCTGGGGTGGACAGTGCCCCAGGACGCTGAGTCTGGGGGTCTGTGCTTGGCACCCAGGTCTGTGCTTGGATGCAGTGACCCATGTGCCATGGCGGGGCTAAGGAGGGCATGAGGTGGTGGGCACAGGGGTCTCAGCCCAAGGCAGCCCCAGGTCTGCGGGCCCTGGGGAGGGCGCGATGTAGGCCAGGAGTCCCAGTGGAGCCCCACCCCAGGCACAGAAGGACAAACTGAGGCAGTAGGTAGGAGCTGAGGGCACCTCTTCCCTGAGGAAGGAGTGCAGGCCAGCCCTGTGAGCGGCATAAATATATTTCTGGGCGTGGGACAATAAATAAGGTTGGGGTGAGCAGGGCTGTGCCGCCCCCCACCCGCCGGGTGTGAGGTAAGACTGCGGTGGCCACACACTTGCCCAGGATAGCCATGGCGGGAACAGTGGGCAGACCCCCTGGCGGGCGGCCCCATCAGCGCGTCCTGAGCCGAAGGACCCGGGAGAGCGGCTCCTTGGCGCTGGAGTAGACGAGGTAGGAGCCGGCGGCTGTGCTGAAGGTTTCCCAGTCCCTGCAGCCGAACGTGGGCAGGCTGTGTGCGGCCACGAAGCCCTCGTAGCCCTGCCACCTAGGGGGGTGGAGAGGGACCATGAGGGCAGTGTCCACCCAGGGAGGGAAACTGAGGCGCAGGGACTCTGCCTGCAGACGGCGTTGACAGTGAGGCACGTGCTGGGTCGAGCTCTGCGCTGCCCCCTCCCCCCTGGCCCCCGCTGTGGATTCTGAGCTTCCAGGGTGACTGCGAGGCCCTGGGCACTGTCCACGTTGCAGACGGCAACAGGAAAGTGGGTGATGGGGTGAGGGTTCGAGGGTGTGGCTGTACCTGGCGCTGCGTGGGGACCGCCAGGGTTACATGGGGTCATTCTTGGGGGCTCTGCAGTGCCAGGAGCAAGCCTGGAAGACACCCCTAATCCTTGCGCTGTCTCCCTGGTCCCCAAACTGAAGGCTTTTCTGATAAGACATAGATGATCATCTCAGAGGAGAAGGAAATCCTGATTAAGCCCCGAACCACGAGGAAAACAGAGAAATGTCCAGTGGCCTCATGGAGGTGCAGGACTGTGCCTGAAAGCATCTGCCGCAGCCTGTCCCCAGGTCCCTGGTGCTGGTCCCTGCAGTGACACCCCAAAGCACTGACGCCAGCTCCATCCCCGGGCACCCTGACCTCATGAGGCCACGAGGTGGCCTTCACCCCAGGGCCTTGGGGAGGCAGTGATGGTGGCAGTAGCTGGGACACTGCACCTCACAGGGACAGGGTGAGTGCTGATATCACCCCACACTCGGGCACGCCTCAGAGTGCCACGGTTGAGCTGAGAAACCAGGCAGGAGCGTGCCAGCTGCCACGGACAGGACGGTTCATTTCTGAACACGTCAGCGCCCTCAGCCACAGGAACAGAGAAGCGGGGCCACCACACTGAGGGTCCCAGGCCAGGTTGCTGGAGGCTGTGTCCACGCAGGGGCACATAGATGCCTCTCCGGCCCCGGGATCAGCAGTGGGACGAAATTCGAGTGCCACCATAGCCCAGGGTGCTGGCCCCTGGCCGTGCCCGCCCCCTCACCTGTAGATGATGCTGTTTACCAAGAAGGTGTGGCCGTCGAAGGAGTTGGCGACTACCAGGAAGTAGTCCTCGCCCACGGAGAAGAACTCCCAGTCCAGGGCACTGCGGGGACAGGGAGGCCTCAGCACCCAGGGCAGGGCAGCTCCCCATCTTTTGGTTTGTTCACTTTTGGGTCACACCCGGCGATGCACAGGGCTTACTCCTGGCTCTGCACTTAGGAGCTACTCCTGGAGGTGCTCAGGGGACCATATGGGATGCTGGGAATCGAACCCGGGTCGGCTGCGTGCAAGGCAAATGCCCTAACCGCTGTGCTATCTCTCCAGCCCCAAGCTCCCCATCTTTTCTCTGCATCTAGGGAAAGGTCACTAATTTCTTCACTTCCTTGTCATAAAGCACCTCTGGGGAGAGGACTTCACCTGAGGGTGAGTCCACCTCTGCCCATCCCAGAGCCCGGCCTCTGCCCAGCTGACTCCCCACCCACTTCTGCCCCCTGCCTGGCCGCCCCAAGGACAGTCTGTGGCCCAGCAAGTGGTCAGCCTGCCGCCCGCACCTGCAGGTGGGAATCTCCTGGAAGGTGACAAAGGTCTGGGCGGTGACGTTCAGCTCATAGATGACCGAGTTGATGACGTAGGAGTCACTCTGCATCTGCGTCTCTGCTGTGTAGCTGTGGCTGTTGGCCACGGCCAGGAAGACCCTCTCCCCGATGCGGAACACCTCCCAGTCGGCGGCTCCGAAGGTCTAGGACAGGTTGGGCCGTGAGGGAGGCCCCAGGTGCTGGGGCCCTGCCAGCTTGTCACCTCCCCCTACCAATCCTTCCCACACCCGAGGGTCCCTGAGTCCCTGCGATGACCCTGACTGGGCCCTGTGTGTGTCACAGCACCTCCCAGGAGAGGTGGCCAAGAGGGTGAGCTGAGGGACTCTGTGACTGGCCCTCAGTGGGATATGGAGGGGGCTTGGTAGGGTGGGGATCGCGTCCAAACTGTGCTCTGGGTTCGGTGGGAACTTGAAGGGCCTTGTGGGGTCCCAGCCCCTGGTAATGAGGGTCGCGCCTCCTGGGCAAGCAAGCTTTGCTGGCTGAGCTGTGGGGCAGCTGCCCGCGGTCCAGCCCCATGCCCTCTGCTGTCCCTGGAACAGGGCGAGCTGTGTCGGGCGGTGCGCCCCCCTGGCTGCATGTTCCAGGGGTGCGGGGGCTTGGGGGCGGGGCCGGCTGGCTCCCCCGCTCACTTCCCAGCGCCGCCGGCAGAGGGCGTCCTCACATTAGCCTGGTGCGGACCTGAGGCCGACCTGAGGGCCCAGAAGCCCCCACAGCTGTGAGGCCTGAGCAGGTCTTCCAGGACATGGATGCCAGGGTGGGTAGCCGAGCTGACTACTGGAACCATCCACCACCCTTCTGGGCCCTCAGGTCTGTGGGATCTTCAGCACGTCTGAGAGTGACCGCTGAGCCCCCACAAATGGGGGCCCTTCTCCGCCCAGGGCAGATTCAGCAGCAGCAGGCGGTGCTGACCCTCCCCTTGAACTCATCCAGGAAATGTACCTACAGCTGCCTCACACCTGCCTGTAAGCACACTCCTGCACGCACAGCTGCACACACACCCCTGCACATACACCTGCATGTACAGCTGTACACCTGCACACACACACACACCTGCATGCACAACTGCACACACTTGCATGCACACCTACACACACACACCTGCCTGTGAGCACACACCTGCATGCACACCTGCACACCTGTCCAGAGCACACACCAGCGCATCACAGTACAAGCACACCCAGGCAGACACATGTAGATGTGCTCGCAGGTGCAGAGCCCCGGCACCCCTACTTCCTGCATGGCAGGGCCTAAGATGTGCTGGCAGGGCCCTGGCTGCATCTCAGAGGTGAGGGCACCCTCGCTGCTCCCCAGGACCTGAGTTCAGGGCTCAGATGGGGACAGGGAGGATGAGGTGCCAGGCCTTGTGAGCACAAGCCCAGAGTCCCAGAGCGGGGACTATGCACACCTGCACACCTGTCTATGGTCTGTATCCCACCCATGGTCTGTATCCTCTGTGCTTCACAGGGTAGCCTCACTCCAGGGCCCTAGAGCCTGTGCAGTGGAACTGCAGAGAAAGATTCTGGGTGGGCGTGGCGGTCACTGGAAGGGCCTCTGAGCCAGGCCAGCCCTGGCGGAGCCTCTTTCCTGCACCCGGGACCCCGCCATGGGGCATCAGCATTCTGGGTGCCTCACACACCCGGGTCCTTCCACATCAAAGGCCCAGCCCGGAGTTCCCCTGGAGTCTTGCCCAGCAGCCCCTCCCAGACCCTAGGGTGGGCCCCTGTGGGGAAGGCGTTTTTGGGAGCCACAGCAGACCTGGAGCACAGCCCACCCGGGTGGGGCAACAGAGCAGCTGTGGCTGAGGACCCTGTCCAGCTGCGGGGCAGAGAGCTGGGCATACCTGTGGGATGGGGGTGCTGGGAGACAGAGGTGTGTCCAGGGCGCTGGCCCTCACAATGGGTAGTTGGCTTGGGCAGGGTGTGCCCTGTCCAGAAGGCTCAGAACTCCGGCTCTAGAAGGTTCTGCTCACCCCGCCTGTGCCCAAGCCCACCCCTGCAGGGAGGGAGTTCAAGGGACTGGGGGGTCTGCTGGGTGTTCTGAGCTGACTCCCTCCCTCCTGTCTCCTCTTCACTTCCTAGGAAACTAGCCTGGATTCTCCTGGTGCAGTCCCCGCAGGCTTTCTGTTCTGAATTCCAGAATGTTCCCTGTCCTGCCACACCCAGCTCTGTCCAGGCAAGGCCTGCATCTGGCTGAGACGCATCTTGGTCAACCTGGAGACAAGTCTCGTTTCCAAGGCGCCTCTGTTCCCCAGGCAGCCCAGTGAGAAGAGTCCTGTGGGGCAGGGGGTGTTGGAACCTGTACCCCAGCTCCCCCTGTGCTGGAAGAGAGGGTATGGTGGTCCCTCAGGAGCTAGGATGGACATGTCACCTGGGAGGCAGCCCCCCCAAGCCTGTTGGAGGTTCTCCAGAGAAGCTCCATGGGGGAGCCTGCAGGGCAGGACTGGGGTGCAGGAGGGTCTGCTCTGCGGGCGGAACCGGGGACCTGGAGGAAAGGTTGTTCATGTGTGAGGAATCATCCTGGAGAGGCATTATCTCAGCAGATAGAGGGGTTTCCCAGCTCCTGTAAGGCAATGGGGAGGGGACAGGTGGGCGGGGCCAGAGCAGAGGAACAAACGGGGTCTAGGTGAGAGGAGCCAGGGCAGAGGAGAGGGCGAGGTCTAGGTGGGAGGAGCCAGGGCAGAGGAATTGTGGTATCTAGATGGGTGGAGCCAGGATAGAGTGGGTGGGGTCTAGGTGGGCGGAGCCAGGGCAAAGGAGTGGGAGGGGTCTAGGTGGATGGAGCCAGGGCAGAGTGGGCGGAGCTAGGGCAGAGGAGTGAGTGGGGTCTAGGTGGGCGGGACTAGGGCAGAGGAGTGGGCGGGGTCCAGCAGTGTAGAGAAATGGGTGGGGTCTAGGTGGGCGGAGCCAGGGCAAAAGAGCGGGCAGGGTCTAGGTGGGCGGAGCCAGGACAGAGGAGTGGGCGGAGCTAGGGCAGAGAAGTAAGCGGGGTCTAGGTGGGCGGCACTAGGTCTAGGACTGGGCGGGCCTAGGGTAGAGGAGTGGGTAGTGTCTAGGTGGGTGGAGCCAGGACGGAGGGGACGGGGTCTAGGTGGGCAGAGCCATGTCAGAGGTGTGGGTGGAGTCTAGGTGACAGTCTAGGTGGGTGGAACTAGGCCAGACGTATGGGCGGAGCTATGCCAGAGTTGTGGGTGGAGTCTAGGTGGGCAGGTCAAGACAAGTTAGTAGTTAGCCAAGGAAGGAGTGTTGGGTTAAGGGAACTAGAGGAGTTGAGTGTTGGGTCCCACCATGCCTAACGTCAGCTGTCCTGCTAGCCTGAGGCCACGCTAGCCACGCCTGGCTCCCAGGGTGCCCAGTGCTGTCGTCCCAGTACAACTAGCTACTTCCACTGAAAAAGCTCTTCAGGCCAGTCCACAGGGACCGACACCAGCCAAGGGACCAAGAGTGAAAGAGCAGCAGGCCCTGGTCCCTGGTCCCTACCCAGCAGGTCAGGGACTAGACACCCTGGCCCAGGTAGGAGATCCAATGCCCACATGGGCCAGACTGTGGGGTCTGGTCACCCTCTGCCCCTCTAGGCTTGGAGCTGGCAGAGTGTGAGCGTGAGAAGGAATGGGGGAGGACAGGGTCTGATGCTGACTTGCTTGCTTGGTTGCCCTCTGCCGCACACACAAGCACACATTATTTCATGCTGTGTGGACGCCAATTTGGGTGTGTGACCAGTGACAGCCATGTGCATGCCAGGCTGGGTGTGTTATCAGTGTGGTGCTGGCAGTGTGGGCGCCAGGCTGGGAGCGTGTCTGGTGCTGGCCATGTGTGGGTGCAGGGCCTTACCAGGAAGGACTGGAAGAGGCGGAAGGCGCCGAGCAGCCACACATAGAGGTGCGAGTGCAGCCGCGTGGAGGTGCCATTGAAGGCGTTGGCCACAGCCAGGAAGGAGTAGGGCCCCACGGTGAAGAACTCCCAGTCGTAGGCACCTGATGTGGCGATGCTCTGGTTGGCTTCGAAGAGCCGCGTCCGTGGGTTCCACTTGTAGATGACACTGTCGATGTTGTGGTTATCACCTGGATGGAGCGGCCATGCTGACAGAGGGGCCCGGGACCACCCCCGCCCCTCCACAGGGCACAGTGACATGGGGGAGAGCCCCCACTGCCCAACCCTTTCCTCTCTGCACCCCCCCTCCCCAAATCACACTCACTTCACAGACACTGAGCTTTCCTGGGTCCCCTCCCAGCCCACAGAGCTCTGGGTGCATGGTGGACTTGGAGGCATCGATTGCAGAACCTGGGAGGCCCGCATGAGAGCCTACACAAGCTATACATTCCTCAACCCCATGGCTACCTCTAGTCCCAGGACCCTGTTCCCAAGGTTACTGTGGCCTTGAGGGCGAAACCCTCCTAGAGACCCTGCTCCCTGGCCTCCAGTATAGCCCTGCCATGTGGCTGCACTGCTGTCTAGAGTGGACGGGGCAGTTGGCTGGGGCCACATGGTGACTGTCCACATTACCTGCCTATAGACAGCTCAAGGCCAACTGCACCTCCTCCATCACAGCTGCTCCCAGGAACTTGGGGTGCCAGGTCAATGGCTGGCTGGATGGAGGTTGGCTGGGTCATTAGCTGGTTGGTTGGGTATTTGGTGGTTAGTTGTGTTATTCGGGGTGGTTGGTGGTTGGTTGGGTCAATGGTTGGTTGGTGGCTTGCTGGGTCATTAGCTGGCTGGTTGGGTGGTTGTAGTTGGTGGTTAGTTTGGTCATTGGTCGGTTGGTTGGTTGGTGGTTATCTGGGTAACTGGCTGATTGGATGGTGGTGGCCACTTAGTTGGGTGGTTAGTAGTTGATTGGTTAGTTGGGTAGTTGACTGGTCAGTTATGTGGGTGGTGGCTGGGTGCTTGGTGGTTGGTTGGTAGCTGGTTAATTGGGTGGTTGGTAGTTGGTTATCTGGATGGTTGATTAGTTGGCTGGCCAGTTGAGTGATTGGTGGTTGGCTGGATGACTACTACTGATGGGTCAGTTGTGTGGCTAGTTTCCCAAAGGCCCGGAGTCTGCAGTCAGGCTACTGTGGTATGTCTCAGGGGTCAGGTGCCCCACAGAAATGCGTACTGACCCCACATAGGCAAGGTTGGGCCTGGGATCCTGGAAAAAAGGTGGGACAACCCAGCACAGTCCGAGGGCTTCCCCCAGGGTGCAAGAAGCGAAGCCCACCTTCTCGGTGGTTGGCCACGGCCAGGAAGTGCTCCCCAGCCATCTGGAAGGCCTCCCAGTCCCGGGCACTGTGGGTGGCCACCCGCTGATATGGCCTGAACCGCAGCTTTGTCCGGCTCCACTTGTAGATGACCGAGAACTCCTGGCCCTTCTCATTGGGCTCAAAGTTGGCCACAGCTAGGAAGGTCTGTAAGACAGTGGACAGTTGGTGCTGTGGCATGGCACCTGCCCCAGCATGAGCCCCTGAGCTCATGCATCCATCCCCAGTCCCTGAACTCAGGGATAGCACGAGGTTATCTCCCCCTAACTGGGAAGAGGAGATTCATCCTGCTGGGCCAGCCCCCCAGGACCCCACCCACAGGTCTTAGGTCTGCCATCCGGCACCTTGCCCCCCGCTCCTGGGCAGCCTCAGCCCCCAGCAAGCAGCTGTGTCTGTGCAGAGACGCAGGAGCAGAACAGGGAGTGAGGCCACTGACGCATGCGGCGTGGCCAGGTCTGGGCCCCCCCGAGATGCGGCTCATCTTTTGTTCTCAGGAGTTGGGCATCCCTGTTGGTGCCATCTGGAGAGAATTGTCAAGTTGTCTGAGCCAGCGGCCACTGGGTGCCTGGCCACACACACTTGCCTGCTTCCCAATGGTGAAGTACCGCCAGGACTGCGCCTGGTGCGTGGGGATGTCTTGGTAAGAGGAGAACTTTCCATCCGTCCACTTGTAGATGGCCGACGTGGCCTTGCGATTGGCAGTGGCCACAAAGAGGCCAGCCCCGGGGATGGCGAAGACCTCGACGCCCAGGGTCTCGGCGTTGGTGGGCAGGCTCTGGTGCTCCTCCACATAGTCCAGCCGCTCCCTGGCTGCCGGGACAGGGGTTGTGGGTCGGACGCACTGCCCAGGACCTGGATCTGCCATACCGGTGCCCAGAGGCTGCCAAGGGCCCCCTCTCTGCTCCTGCCACTGGTCTGTGTCCTGCACAGAGCCAGGTCCCAGTATGTTGCAGTGGGGACGAGTGGCCTTGGTGGTGGAGGCACTGCTGGGACACAGACCCTCCTGACTCCCTGAGCCCCAGGGTCTTCCTGCTGGGGTGTGAGGAGTCGGGCTCCTCCCTGCCACCCCCCACAACCACCTGTGGGCCACGGTCCTGCTCCCGACCTCAGGAGGGGCTGCCCGGCTCCAGGATAGTGGGGGTCTGCTCCCAGGTGCCCCTCTCTGAGAAGTGCCGACAGGGCCCCAGCCCACCTGCTAACACAGAGACCCACTGGCGGCCCACGCACAGGAACAGCCCCTTCCGGCCGGCGTCAAACCAGAACTGGGCATCCTCGGCTTTGGTGCAGGGGGGCCGGGAGCCAAGTGTCACCTTCATGTGGGTTTCTGGGGAGACAAGGTAGATGGCGGGAGGGGAAGTGATCCCACAGGAAATGACCTGGAGTCCGTCTCCAGCTGGACGCGGAGCCCGGGGGCCAGTGGGGTCACAGCCGTGGGTCACTGTTGTGTGGGGAGGCCCAGCGGCTGGGCGAGTCCTTGGGTGGTGACAGTTCGGTGGGTGGCTGTGGACTGTGCCTCCTCTCCTCGGCCTCGTCCCGCTCCCTGAGGGGCCTGTGGTGCCCCAGACTGCTGCCAGCACTTGCCCACCTGAGCAGGGTCCAGCCTCTGGAGTTCCAGGGGTGCCACCCCCTCTTGCCTCATCCACAAGCCTAGTGCAGGTGGATGTGCTGTGGGGGCTCCTGACTAAGAGGCGGGGAGTAAGGACAAAGGGGTATGGAGGAGGGGACTCCACACCCTCAGGTTGGACACTCAGGGTGACATGGAACAAGTCTGGCCCAGTCCAGGTCCTCTGGGTGGGGCTGGGGTCTGAAAGTGTAGGAGCAGCAGGGAGGCCCCTGGGATGCACTGGGCACGACATGCTCTAGAGAAGAGACGGGTACCCGCATCCTGGGTCCTCAAGCTGAGGAGTGGGGTACTCTGGAGCCCTCTGGGAAAAGCAGGCATCTGCATGAAGTGACACCACAGTCCTGTCAGGCATTTGGGGGCCTGCAGCCACTGACCGTAGGGAGGCCTCAGCACCTCGTTGTCTTCCGGGGTCCCTGCCAGCCCCTGCAGGATGGGGGGGATGGACAGCACGGCAAGCTTGGCGTCCCTGCAGGGGCATACTCTGGAGCTGGCATCTGAGCCGGGCAGCAGGACCAGCTGCCTCAGCAGACCCTGCAGAGACGGGGGCATGTCAGTCACCGCTCCTCACACAGGGATGGGGGACACGTCTATCAGAGAGAGGGACACATCCGTTCCCTGCCCCACAAGAGAGGGACATTTTGGGTCCCTCATTGCAGAGAGAAGGGCATATCTAGCCCCTCCCCGCAGAGAGGGGTGCATCTGGTCCCTCCCCACAGAGAGAGGGACGTGTCTGATCCCCACCCCACACATAGGGACAGGGGCAGATCTGGTCACTACCCTGCAGAGTGAGGGGCACGTCCACTCCCCGCCCCACAGACAGGGACAGGGGCATGTTCAGTCCCTGCCCCGCTGACAGGCTGGCACCTCAGGGCTTGTCCTGCAAGGCCCTCCCTTAAGCTTGCAGACGAGAGGCAAAACATTGGTTGTGGGGAGCAAGAGGGTGCTGGGAGAAACTGAGCACCCTTGAAGGCGATCAAACCAGAGGGATCTTTTCTACACCAGACAAGATGTGCCACTTAGCTTGTTAATCCTGCCACCCATCGGCCTCCGTCTGGCACCCTTTCCCCCTCCCCTACCTGTCTAACCATTCCTTTGTCCATCTATTGTCCATTCGTGCCTCCATCCCACCATTATCCAGCTGTCCATCCGCCCACCATTTGTCCATCAGCATATCCATCAGCGCATCTATTCATCGACTGTTCTATCCACCGTCTGTCTATTCACCCATCTGCCAATGATCCACACATGTCTGGACAGTCTCGGAGCACCTACTACGTGCCAACCATGGTTCCAGATATTGGCACAGTGGGCACAGCAGCCTCACCCCCTCCAGGGTAGAGAGGTCAGAGGGCGCTGAGGGCCATGGAGAAGGCAAAAGGGGGTAAGTGGAGTCAGCGTTTGAACAGCAGGGAGAGGCTTCCATGCTAAAGTGGTACTGGGGGATGAGCGGGGGTCTGTGGTGTTTGTGGGGTTCAGAGAAATGGGTGTGCCCGAGCAGGGAGAGCGCAGTGTCATGGGGGACCCGGAGACACAGCCCCCATACTCACCGTGAACAGACCTTTGGTTCTCTTGCGGCTTCCGACGAAGAAGCGGGCACCTCGCACTGAGAGGGCGGCTGGGAAGGGCACGTCAGCTGCTCTGAGAACATCAGAGGCAGCTTAACAGCCACGACAGACAGGCACCCCATTTATGTGGCCAAGAAGGGGGGCCCACCCGCCCATCCCCACCATCCCCTCCAGCCCAGGTTCTCTGCCCAGGGAGCCCGGCCCCAGTGTCTTTACTGGGAAGTGGGTTTCTGCACACTCAGGACAGGTTAACGGGGTCTCTGAGTTCAGCCTTGAGGCAGAACCCCCATGAGGAGCTGCTGGGTCCCTCCTCTGCCCTCTGTGCCGGTAGCCACGGCCTATTGAGCCCCAATGCTGCCCTCCTGGCCCAACTCCAGCCCTGGGCTGGCCCTCAGGAGCTGTGTGCACCGCCTGAGGCCGCGCACTCTTGGCCACACAGGCTGGCCTGGGGCCCCACTGGGGCAGATACCTACATGTCGAGGGGCGGGCCACAGTCGGAGGCCAGGGAGAAGGAGCCTGCAGACACAGCCAGCACCAGCGTGTGCCACTGGCTGTCGGTGAGAGCAGCACTGCGGAAGGATATGCGTGTCTGCCAGGTGCCCGCCGAGTCCTCGCTCACAAAGAGGAAGTGCAGCTGTGTGGGCGAGTAGCGCAGGCCGAGAAGCAGCGTGTCCTGCTCCTCGGACAACACCGTCATCAGGTACTCGTTCTTCTGCAAGACAGTGAGAGACACGGGTAAGGACAGGCGAAGACAGAGGGCAGGCACAGGGTGAGGACAGGGGAAGACAGGGGAGGAGGCAGGGGAAGACAGATGGGAGGATGGACAGAAGAGGACAGGTGAGGACAGGCGAGGACAGATGAGGGTGGGTAGGTTAGTGTCACAGTGAGAACAGACAGGTAAGGATGAGCGGGTAAGGATGAACAGGTAAGGATGGACATGGGAGGATGGACAGGGAAAGAGGTTAAGAGGACAGGCGAGGACAGACAGGTAAGAACAGATAGACGAGATGTACAGGTGAGGAGGACAGGTGAAAATGGACAGGTGAGAATGGACAGGTGAGGGTGGACAGGTTGAGAATTGACAGGTGAGGACAAACAGGTGAGGATGGACAGGTAAGCAGGTAGGTGAGAGGACAGACAGGTGAGGACAGACAGGTGAGGATTGGCAGGTGAGAACAAACAGGTGAGGACAGACAGGTGAGGACAAACAGGTGAGGATGGACAGGTGAGGTCAGACAGGTGAGGACAGAAAGGTGAGGGTGGAGAGGTGAGGACGGACAGGTGAGGATGGACAGGTGAGGCCAGACAGGTGAGGATGGACAGGTGAGGATGGACAGGTGAGCAGGTAGGTGAAAGGACAGACAGGCGAGGACAGAGGACAGACAGGTGAGGATGGGCAGGTGAGGTCAGACAGGTGAGGTCAGACAGGTGAGGACAGACAGGTGAGGGTGGAGAGGTGAGGATTGACAGATGAGGACAAAGAAGTAAGTGGGTAGGTGAGAGGACAGACAGGTGAGGACAGAGGACAGACAGGTGAGAATGGAGAGGTGAGGACAGACAGGTGAGGATGGACAGGTGAGGACGGAGAGGTGAGGACGGACAGGTGAGGATGAACAGGTGAGGATGGAGAGTTGAGGACAGAAAGGTGAGGGTGGAGAGGTGAGGATGGACAGGTGAAGTCAGACAGGTTAGGATGGACAGGTGAGGATGGACAGGTGAGGTCAGACAGGTGAGGACGGACAGGTGAGAATGGACAGGTGAGCAGGTAGGTGAGAGGACAGACAGGTGAGGGCAGACAGGTGGGATCAGACAGGTGAGGACGAACAGGTGAGGATGGACAGGTGAGGGTAAAGAGGTGAGGATCAGGTGAGGACGGACAGGTGAGGTCATATAGGTGAGGACGGACAGGTGAGGATGGACAGGTGAGGATTGACAAATGAAGACAGAGAAGTGAGTGGGTAGGTGAGAGGACAGACAGGTGAGGACGGACAGGTAAGGACGGACACGTGAGGATGGACAGGTGAGGATGGACAGGTGAGGTCAGACAGGTGAAGATGGACAGGCGAGGATGGACAGGTGAGGATGGACAGGTAAGGTCAGACAGGTGAGGATGGACAGATGAGGACTAACAGGTGAGGATGGACAGGTGAGGTCAGACAGGTGAGGACGGACAGGTGAGGACAGAGAGGTGAGGGTGGAGAGGTGAGGATTGACAGATGAGGACAAAGAAGTGGGTAGGTGAGAGGACAGACAGGTGAGGACAGAGAACAGACAGGTGAGGATGGACAGGTGAGGACGGACAGGTGAAGATAGACAGGTGAGGATGGAGAGGTGAGGACGGACAGGTGAGGATGAACAGGTGAGGATGGACAGGTGAGGGTGGAGAGGTGAGGATGGACAGGTGAGGATGGACAGGTGAAGTCAGACAGGTTAGGATGGACAGGTGAGGATGGACAGGTGAGGTCAGACAGGTGAGGACAGAAAGGTGAGGGTGGAGAGGTGAGGACGGACAGGTGAGGATGGACAGGTGAGGTCAGACAGGTGAGGATGGACAGGTGAGGATGGACAGATGAGGATGGACAGGTGAGCAGATAGGTGAAAGGACAGACAGGCGAGGACAGAGGACAGACAGTTGAGGATGGGCAGGTGAGGTCAGACAGGTGAGGTCAGACAGGTGAGGACAGAGAGGTGAGGGTGGAGAGGTGAGGATTGACAGATGAGGACAAAGAAGTAAGTGGGTAGGTGAGAGGACAGACAGGTGAGGACAGAGGACAGACAGGTGAGGATGGAGAGGTGAGGACAGACAGGTGAGGATGGACAGGTGAGGATGGAGAGGTGAGGACGGACAGGTGAGGATGAACAGGTGAGGATGGAGAGTTGAGGACAGAAAGGTGAGGGTGGAGAGGTGAGGATGGACAGGTGAGGATGGACAGGTGAGGTAAGACAGGTGAGGATGGACAGGTGAGGATGGAAAGGTGAGGATGGACAGATGAGGATGGACAGGTGAGCAGGTAGGTGAAAGGACAGACAGGTGAGGACAGAGGACAGACAGGTGAGGATGGCGAGGTGAGGATGAACAGGTGAGGATGGGCAGGTGAGGTCAGACAGGTGAGGACGGACAGGTGAGGACAGAGAGGTGAGGGTGGAGAGGTGAGGATTGACAGATGAGGACAAAGAAGTAAGTGGGTAGGTGAGAGGACAGACAGGTGAGGATGGACAGGTGAGGACGGACAGGTGAAGATAGACAGGTGAGGATGGAGAGGTGAGGACGGACAGGTGAGGATGAACAGGTGAGGACGGACAGGTGAGGTCATATAGGTGAGGATGGACAGGTGAGGATGGACAGGTGAAGTCAGACAGGTTAGGATGGACAGGTGAGGATGGACAGGTGAGGTCAGACAGGTGAGGACGGACAGGTGAGAATGGACAGGTGAGCAGGTAGGTGAGAGGACAGACAGGTGAGGGCAGACAGGTGGGATCAGACAGGTGAGGACGAACAGGTGAGGATGGACAGGTGAGGGTAAAGAGGTGAGGATGGACAGGTGAGGATGGACAGGTGAGGTCATATAGGTGAGGACGGACAGGTGAGGATGGACAGGTGAGGATTGACAAATGAAGACAGAGAAGTGAGTGGGTAGGTGAGAGGACAGACAGGTGAGGACGGACAGGTAAGGACGGACAGGTGAGGATGGACAGGTGAGGATGGACAGGTGAGGTCAGACAGGTGAAGATGGACAGGCGAGGATGGACAGGTGAGGATGGACAGGTAAGGTCAGACAGGTGAGGATGGACAGATGAGGACTAACAGGTGAGGATGGACAGGTGAGCAGGTAGGTGAAAGGACAGACAGGTGAGGACAGACAGGTGAGGACAAACAGGTGAGGATGGACAGGTGAGGATGGACAGGTGAGGATGGACAGGTGAGGACAGACAGGTGAGGGTGGAGAGGTAAGGATGGACAGGTAAGGATGGACAGGTGAGGATTGACAGGTGAGGATTGACAGATGAAGACGGAGAAGTGTGTGGGTAGGTGAGAGGACAGTCAGGTGAGGACAGACAGGTGAGGATGGACAGGTGAGGACGGACAGGTGAGGATGGACAGGTGAGGATGGAGAGGTGAGGACGGACAGATGAGGATGGACAGATGAAGTCAGACAGGTGAGGATGGACAGGTGAGGACAGACAGGTGAGGGTGGAGAGGTAAGGATGGACAGGTAAGGATGGACAGGTGAGGATTGACAGATGAAGACGGAGAAGTGTGTGGGTAGGTGAGAGGACAGTCAGGTGAGGACAGACAGGTGAGGATGGACAGGTGAGGATGGACAGGTGAGGACGGACAGGTGAGGACGGACAGGTGAGGATGGACAGATGAGGACGAACAGGTGAGGATGGACAGGTGAGCAGGTAGGTGAAAGGACAGACAGGTGAGGACAGACAGGAAGGTGAAAATGGACAGGTGAGGACGGACAGATGAGGACGACAGGTGAGGACGAACTGGTGAGCAGGTAGATGAGAGGGCAGGTATGGACATGCATGAGAGGGCAGCTGACAGCAGACTTAAGGCCACTGGCCACAGTCTTCACTGAACCCACCAAGTCGGTCCCACCCATGATGATGGCTACTGTGAACAGCCCCAAAGGATAAGGGTCAGTGCAGAGGTGGAGCCGAGCCCTGAGGTGATGTGGAGGGACATCAAAGCATGCAGGTCACAGGCAGCTGCGGGCCGCTCTGGGAGCGCCACTGTCTGTGACAAATGGCATGCTACTATGGGAGGGAGTAACAAGGGAGCCCTCGTGGCCCTGCCAGGTCACTGTGTGGCCCCTCAGCCAATGTGAGGAGATGCGACATTTCCACATGGGAGGGTCACTAGGAAAGTAGGACACCCCCTGCCCGGGAGGGAGACCCAGGACATTACTGAGAGCACTGGACCAGAGGTGCAGGCCCGCAGGCCCCGGCCAGGAGGCATTTAAACCCACAGAGAGAGCAGACGAAGGCAGGGACGAGCATTGCTGGCTGAACAGAGGGTGCATGGAACAAGCAGACAGGACATCTCCAGAGTACACAACCCCAGAGCTCCCAACCTCCCCTGGCCAGCAGGCAGAGAGGCCAATGTGTTCTTTCTCCCTCCCCAGGACATGCCGGCTGTGGGGACAGACCGGGCAGCTCAACCCACACCCGAGCACGGTCAGACACACAGCATCAGGCTCAGGGAGTTTATTGGGGGTCCGAGGCAGGGCCAGTGGGATGGAGTGGAGGTCAGTGACCACAGCAGAGAGAGTGGCAGCCAGGACAGGGGCCCTGAGCAGGTCTGGTTGCCAGGATGCAAGGACCAGGGAGTATGAGGTTGGGGTGCCGAGGGCAGGAGGCCAGGTCAACACAGGGCAGGTGCAGGGCACCCATCTGCGGTGGTGGCCATCCTGGGGTCACCTCTGGCCTGGTATCACTGGCAGGGCCCAGTGCCCACTGCTCCAGGGTCATGCCTGGTTGGCAGCAGAGTGTGGGCCAAGGCGGGCACAGCGGGCAGGCGGGCACACAGCCGGCAGGGCAGGGCACAGCGAGGCCCAACAGGCGGCATCAGCAGCAGCATGAGGGCTTGCAGGCAGGCTGGCACAGCAGGGACATGCTGGACCCCTGGCAGCAGCTAGGCGGGCAGGCGGGTGGGCACGCGGGCTGGCAGATGAGGGAGACGCTGGACGAGGGTTTGCAGCAGGG